TCTTTGTCATAACAATAAAGATCAGATTGGTTTTCATTAAAGAAATAACTCCCATTCCCAGAAGGACAAACCCCCTTATGCTATAATCATTTTACTGTCATCCCAGAAGCCAAGAGAACACTGAAACTCTTTATTTGTCATCTCTTCTTCTCCTTTTTCCAAATAGCAAGAATTTTCCCCTTCATGAAACAGGCACTGTGCTGCAGAGGCCACCAGCAGAGGCCTCCAGCAATTTCCAGGGGTGTCCTGTGGAATGGCACCCTTTTGTGTGAATCAAAGAAGGGAAGTAGATCTTGGTTTCCTTTATACTTTGGCAGAAACCGAAGAACTTCAGGATTTGGGTCTGATGTTTTCTCAACTGAGCTGATTCAGCCAGTGCTGGGGCGGGTATGTATGTGAACTGCAGTGTATAGTCTGAATGCCAGGAAATGTGCACAAGGTGGGGTGGGATGCTGAGGAAGTTTGGGGGATCATGGGAAGATAATATGTAGCCCAGCCCCTGAGTCATCTCCACGCCCCTCCCACTTTCCTGATCACTAACCAGTTCCAGCTGTGCACAGTCCTGGACATCACTTCCCATATGACTACTTATGACTAATTAAAGGAGTGTGTGTGTGTGGGGGGGGGCACTCTTAAAAACAGAGGTTTCCAGGGTAACAGGCTTCCACTGGCCAGGGAAAGCTCTCTCTTCTCTTGAACTCCCTCAGGGCTTTCAGGGGACAATAGGCCAGATGCTAAGGCTGGGTCTGGGTCAGCCTTCACACTCAAGTTTTTCTTCCCTTCAGTTCTCAGTTTCAGGTCCTGGACTTTCCTTTTATATATTGGAATGTCCAACCCCTGCCCGCCTCCAGAGAGTAAAAGTGGCTGTTTGAGGGAGAGTAGATGAGAGTTAAGAGTTTGGCTTCTCCTAAGCCCAGAAACCTCTACACACTTTGACTCTCCCTCCACCCATAGCCCCATGGTCATTAGAAAATACCCTCAGAAATCTCTCTACTCACCTCTGTTATGATTTATTTTATTTTATTTGGTACTAGGGATTGAACCCAGAAGAACTTTACCACTGGCTCATATCCCAAGCCCTTTTAATTTTTTTATTTTGAGACAGGTCTCACTAAGTTGCCAGCCTTGCAAAGTTGCTGAGGATGGCTTTGAACTTGCAATCCTCTGCCTCAACTCCTAAAGTCACACCCACCTCGATAAGGTTTAATTTAAAATACTCCCCCCCACCCCGCCCCCTTGAGTACTGGTGATTGAAATCAGGACCTTATACATGCTAGGCAAGCATTCTACAGCTGAGCAATATCCCCAGCCTTTTTTTCTTTGTTTGTTTTGGTACCGAGAATTTAACTCAGGGGCACTTGACCACTGAGCCACATCCCCAGCCCTATTTTGTATTTTATTTAGAGACAGGGTCTCACTGAGTTGTTTAGTGCCTCGCCATTGCTGATGCTGGCTTTAAACTCGTGATCCTCCTGCCTCAGCTTCCCGAGCTGCTGGGATTACAGGCGTCCCCAGTCCTTTTAAAAATTTTTATTGTTATTTTGAGACAGTGTCTCACTAAATTGCCCAGGTTGGCCTCAAACTTGAGATCCTCTAATCTCAGCCTCTAGAGTAGCTGGGATTACAGGCATGTGCTATCACACTCAACTTACAAATATTTCTATGTGAACTCTTCTGCCATGATTGTGGGCAGAGAGGTAAACCAGTGTGTGGGAAGGGAGTAAGCAAGCCAAAAGAACCCAGTACTTTCCCCTCTCCAGTCAAGTTCTTTTGGGGGGAGAGCCGGGCCACATGTCCTATCTCTTTGCACACATCCTGCATCTCCCCCAGAGAGAGATGACAAATTCAGAGGGGAAAATGAGCTGGGTCAGCCTGTTTTAGGGGGAGGGGTCTGGCAGCAGGGGTGGTCATGACACATGGTGGAAGTAGAATTAGTCATGCAGTTCTTGCATATATGTCCAGACTGCAGCTACCAGCTCTAGGGAATTTTGTTTGGGTGTCTGTGGGAATTCCCTGGAGGCTGAAAAGTGTTCTGCAAAGATCACAGCTTTAGAGTCCATGATGGCTGCTTCCTAGATGTGTGAGCTAAAGCAACCCATTTGAGAGACACTCCTTTTTTTCTGTAAAAAGTTGATAGTATCATTACACAGGGTTGTTACAGAGATTTAAATAAAGTATTTGGCAGTTTTTCGCATTTTACTCTGCCCTGTCCTGGCTCCCTAGTTTCTAGGATGTGTTTGGGCCATCCCAGGCCACAGTGAGTGATGGAGTGGGTGGTAGAAAGAGGGAGAAAAGGGATGAGAAAGAGCCCTGCAGGGGGCCAAGCAAGAACTAGTCCCCAAACTACATCATTTCCTTGGTGCACCAGCCTTGATGGCCTCTGTCACTCATTGCTCAGAGACTCTCTGTCCTTCCTTGCCCTTTACCGGTCATTTGGGACTTAGTCACCCATGTTACCCAGTTGGGTACTGGGTAGGTCAGGAGACAAGGATCACTGAGGGCAGCAATATGAGTCACGAGTATTCTCCACTTTGATTCTGGAGTGTAGAGAAGGGGCCAGGAGTGAGGTTTTACTGAGAACATGAATTCAGTCACCCTTGCCTCTATTCCTCTGCCTATTGCACTGTGCATTTGAGTAATATGCAAATGTTGTGTGAGGCATAAGTGCTATTGGAAATTTCACTAAAGAACAAAGCTCTAAGTGTCAGTGTGGTATCTGGATAAAGCTCAGATTTTATGGGGTCAGCAGAGGAATTTGAATATAGGCCAGGCCAGTTGGAGCTCCATGTCCTTGTTCAAATTTCCTTCTCTGGATCTTCATTTCCTCTTATAAAAACAGCCATGCTGGGTAAGGTGGCACACCCCTGTAACTCCAGCTATTTGGGTAGACTGAGGAAGCAGGGTTGAAAGTTTAAAGCCAGCCTGGGCAATTTAGCAAGACCCTGTCTCAATATAAAATTAAAAAGAAAAAGGGCTTGGAATCTAACTCAGTGGTAGAATGCTTAACCAGCATGTGTGAGGTGCTGGGTTTAATCCCCAGTACCCCTCACGCCTCAAAAGGCAAGAGTGGTGGCTCATGCTTATAGTCCCAGCTACAGCTGGAGCTTAAGAATTCAGGATCACGGCCGGGCCTAGACTTTCTCTTCCACAGGCGGCCACTTTTCCAGGTACCTTGAAGCATCAGGGTGGGTAGTCACCATAGAGGCAGGCAGGGACAGCGCTGCTCCCTGCACCTGCCAGGGCAGGGCTTCCTGAAACTGAGTTCATTCTTTATAGAAATGTGAACACTGAGTTTATTTTAAAAAAATAATAGTAAAAATTTAAAAAAAAAGTCAAAAAAGAAAAAAGGAAAAAAACCCACAGAGAACAACTTACATGTATATAGGTCTTGAAGTGAGTGAAGTGGTTGCGATTTCTTTTGTTTTGTTTTGGGTTTTTTTTTGTTTTTGTTTTTGTTTTTGTAGAAGAGATTTGAGATGGTATTCTATTCTAATCAAAAATAAAGTTTTGTAGCGGGAAAAAAAAAGAATTCAGGATCAGCTGAACAACATGGCAAGATCTTGTCTCTCCTTTTTTTTTTTGGTACTGGAGATTGAGCTCAGGGGCATTTGACCACTGAGCCATATCCCCAGCCCTATTTTGTATTTTATTTAGAGACAGGATCTCACTCAGTTGCTTAGGGCTTCGCAGTTGCTGAGGCTGGCTTTGAACTCGTGATCCTCCTGTCTCAGCCTCCAGAGCCACTGGGATTACAGGCATGCACCACTGCACCAGGCTAAAGTCTTGTCTATTAAAAGAAAAAAAAAAAAGGAAAGAAAAAAGAAAAGGTCATAATAACCCTACCCTTATAGAACAGTTGTGAGAATTAAATGAGACACCGTATAAAACATCTAACATGATAGTAGATATGCTTAAATGTAAGTTTTTCTTCTTTTTCATAGCATTCAAGGCCTTCTCTAAACTCTGGGTTGCAGCTACGTGCCCCTCCTCCCCTATTAACTTAATAAAAGTCTATTGGGCACTGTCTCTCTAAAGCACACAGCTAACCTGGAGTAGACACTAGTGATTCAGTAGTGAATGAAGCAGCCCTGACTCTTTGGACTTAGCATAGCAGCCTTTCAGCTCTTTACTGCCACTTGACTGGCACAGTCCCTGTTGTTACTCCAGCTGATTCTTAGTTAGCCTTCAAAGCTCAGCTCAAAGACTGCCTTTCCAGTTCTAGGTTCCCCTCTGCCTCACCCTATCTGTAAGCTCTCCTTCTTCGTGCCCTTGCTAAATCCCATCCCACTCCAATATTCAGGGCTCATTAAATACTTAAAATAACGACTTTTTATAAAGCAGACATACATGGGTTCAAGAGCGATTACATTCCCAACTTGTTCTTGGGTACAAAGAAACTGAGACTTCAACCTTGATTCCTTCACCTGAAACCCAAACTATCTCAGTTGTTCCCTACCTTTTTGTTTCTGTTTATTTATTTTTCTTATCCAAAAGCTGGAAGACCTACTGGGAGTGACAGTGCACGCTTGTAATCGCAGCGGCTAAGGAGGCAGAGGCTAAGGAGGCAGAGGCAGGTGGATCACAAGTTCAAAACCAGTCTCAGCAAAAAGCAAGGTGCTAAGCAACTCAGTGAGACCCTGTCTTGAAATAAAATACAAAATAGGGCTGGGGATGTGGCTCAGAGGTCCAGTGCCCCCTAAGTTCAACCCCCTCCTTCCCCCAAAAAAGAGCTGGAAGACTGAAAGGTTGAAGCCAAGGGATTGCTGACCCAGGGTCCCTGGAGCACAGGAATGTCTCACTTGAGGTGACAGCCTGATTTTATTCCTAGTCTCTCCTGAAATTTTGCTTCTCACCCTGCCAGGAGGCCCTCCCCAGGGCAGTATGAAAAGTCTCCAAGAGGAAGGGGGTGTTAGGGGCTGTTTTGGGCTTCTGCTTTCTGGAAGGGCAGGGGTTAATGGTGAATTGCAACATATCTCTGGGCTGAGTCACCTCCCACTGCCATCCCCCATTCCCCTCAGTTGAAGTTTTATAAAGAGGACCAAGGGCTGGCAAGTGAAAAGAACTGAAGGTAAGAACCCCTTGTTTAGCCCTGCTCTTCCAGGCTTCTAGAAATCTCAGGTCAGAGGGCACCGACAGCCTCTGGAGCTCTTGTCTGGTGGCACCATGAACTGGCAGCAGCTGTGGCTGGGCTTCCTATTCCCCATGACAGTCTCAGGGCGGGCCCTGGGACCTACAGAGGAGGAGGCAGCTATGGTGAGTCCCTTGGGAAAGAGGGACACAGGCCAGTGGTTACCACTCCATAGTCCCATCCAAGCCTCCTTCCGCCCTTCAGCCTGTCTGCCTTTTCCTTCCTTCCTCTGTTCCATGATCTACCCTGCCTATCACTCGCTGTTCCTTTTTCTCATCCTTCTGAACCCCTTTTCTAGGGCACCTTTCCTTTAGGCCTTCTGTATATTTCTCCCCTTGTCCTAATGGGCCCGTTAGGTCACTTGGAAGATTTACCCTGAGTCTAACCTTCTTTTTACCCTGCTTTCCTCCACCCCACCATAGGATTACCTGTTACAGTATGGGTACTTACAGAAGCCTCTAGAAGGACTTCATCACTTCAGGCCAGAAGATATAACCGAGGCCCTGAGGTGAGAGTTCAAGGCACATGATTTCTAAGTTGAGATTGCAAGTTCTTCTTCCTCTTCTCATTCTTTCCCTCTTTCCAGGCCCACCTCTGCCTGATACAAATCCATGATAAGGATCTATCAGATGGGTGCTAGCATTGATAGCCCAGTAGAGCATGGGATGAGGTGTGAATTCAAGATGAGTACACTTATTGGATCTTCCTAGGCCCAGAGTGCTCCTTTGGAAACTTCACCCCAACATCACATTCAAAATACTAATATTTTACCTGTAAAACTATGAATTGAGTTGTTGATATGACTGCCCTTGAGGACTTTTAATTCAGCATTTATTTCTATTTTGTTATTTTCTTTTATATTTTGCTAATGAATTGTTTTTCTTTGTGTTTAGGTCCCTTGAAAAGCCTGTAGATCCTATGATAGTTCATAGGTAGATGAAATTGTCCCAAAGCAGGATGGGCTGGGCGGCAGGTCCAGCAAGGCTGAAAAGGACCGGACCTGGTGCAGAATCTGGAGAGCAGGGGTAGAAAATTTTCTAAAGCAGTGGGGCTGGTCACTTCCCTACAGCAGGAGAAGGTTAGAAAAGTACAGGAGTGGGGGAGGGAAGAATAGAAGTTCATTGGATTAAATAGATGAATGAAGGAAAGGGAGGAGAATGGGAATAGGAAAGACAGAAGAGTGAATCAAACATAACTTTCCTATGTTCATATATGAATACACGACCAGTGTAACTCCACATCATGTACAACCACAAGAATGGAAGTTATACTCCATGTATGTATAATACGTCAAAATATACTCTACTGACATGTATATTTAAAAAGAACAAATAAAAATAATTCAAGAAAAAAAGAAATTACAGGAGAAAGGAAGGCTATCTTTCTAAAAAAATATATTAAAAATGGACATATGAAATTACAGGGTTGTAATTTTACAGAAGAGAAAGTCCCAGTTATGAGAATTGGAAGCTAGAGCGACCCAGTCTGCTTTGGAGATTCTGTGCCACTCTTGGTCACCACATTGGGCATTCCTAGTCATTCCAGATTCACCTGCCTTGGGGAACCATTTCTCTCCCTCTTTCTAGAGCTTTTCAGGAAGCAACTGAGCTGCCAATTTCAGGTCAGCTGGATGATGCCACAAGGGCTCGAATGAGGCAGCCTCGTTGTGGTCTGGAAGACCCCTTCAACCAGAAGACCCTAAAATACCTGCTGCTGGGTGAGGGATGAACCTGGGAAAGGGAGGGAGAGGAGAAAATGGTGTAGCTCTGGTACGTGGATGGCATTGGGTCAGCCTGAATCAGCTCAATGTTGAATGGATTATCACCTGGTAATTACCTTGCTATTGTATGCTAGAGGGATTGTGAGTGTCCATTACACAGGGGTGCTCCCTGAACTTGGCAGAAGGATCTGTGTTTCTAATTTAGTGAAAGATCTGCGTTTCCAATCTGTTTTCTGGTCTCTTAAACAGGCCGCTGGAGAAAGAAGCACCTGACCTTCCGCATCTTGAACCTGCCCTCCACCCTCCCACCCCATACAGCCCGGGCATCTTTGCTTCAAGCCTTCAAGTATTGGAGCAATGTGGTCCCCCTGACCTTCCGGGAGGTGCAGGCTGGCTGGGCTGATATCCGCCTCTCCTTCCATGGCCGCCAGAGCACTTACTGCTCCAATACCTTTGATGGGCCTGGTAGGCACCAGTTCTCAGCTCTCATCTCACAGAACTCTGAGATTACCTGTGTCTCCTTGAGCCAGTGCCTCTAGAACCTTAATGTTCAGGATGCCCCTTATGCCTGCCTGTACCTTATGTTCTCTGATCCCCTTCCAACATTCCCCAGGGTACAATTGGTCACCTACCTGGGATCTTACCAAGGCTTTTCTTTGAAGGTTATACCTCCTTCCCTGGCTTAATTTCCCTTATCAAGGCACACCTGAGAGAGAAATGGGTCAGAGAGAGAGAGAGTGGCTGGAGAGGAAAAGGGACTGTGATGGACATCTCTGAGAAGATTTGGATAATGACAGGAATCTGAAAGAAGTGTTCAAGAGATAGTGACTAAAACTGGAGGAATTTTAAGGGAATGGAGTGATTAGAATTTATGCAGGCAGGGATGCTGCTGTGTTCTGGGCTCTGACTTCCTTCCTGTCCTCCTTTGCCTTTATCCAGGAAAGGTCCTGGCCCATGCTGATATTCCAGAGCTCGGCAGTGTACACTTTGATGAAGATGAACTCTGGAGTGAGGGGACCTACCGGGGTGTGAACCTGCGTATCATTGCAGCCCATGAACTGGGCCATGCCCTGGGACTTGGGCATTCCCGATACACCCAAGCACTCATGGCCCCTGTCTATGCTGGCTACCGGCCCTACTTCAAGCTGCATCCTGATGATGTGGCAGGGATCCAGGCTCTCTATGGTCAGTCTCTCTCCCTAGTGAGTATGAGGGTCAGTTGGATTAGCATCTCTCTAGATTTGAAGAGACAGGTCTGGCTTCTATGGAGGGAAATGGCTTGATTTCTTTCTCTTCCTACAGCCCAGTTTTTCAGACTTCTTCATTTTCAGGAATAGTTTCTCTCTGACTCTTGCTTGTCTAACCCAGGTCTCTCTCCTCTCACACCTGTTCTTAGAGACAGAGAATACATATTCTAGTAAATGTCCATCACCATTTCTGGTGCCTCTCAAAACTAAAATGTCTCTTGCAAGGATATTGCACATCACCAAGGAAAAGTCCCTAGTATTCTTTTTCCCCCTCTCTGTGGGGCCACTGAGCAGAACTTACAATGGACAGGTGGAGAGGTCAGGTGCTGTATGTCTCTCCCAAGCAAATATTATTTTACTTTGTAGGTAAGAAGAGGCCAAGAGATGAGGAAGAAGATATGGAGGTGCCCACTGTACCCCCAGTGCCCACGGAACCTGGTCCCATGCCAAACCCCTGCAGTGGTGAACTGGATGCCATGATGATGGGTGAGACCCTTCCCCTCAAGGATGTAGGCAGACAATGGAGGCAGCTCACTGATCTTGAGGCCTAGATAGATGGTAATGACATGAGACTACAGCATGAGCAATGGAGGTTAGACCCCAGGCAGGTATTGGTGACCAAGGAAGAAGATATGTATATAAAAAGGGAGGGTTCAGAGCCAAGTTAAAAGGGGACCAAGCAGGTATTTATTGAGGTTGCCATACTCTAAGGGCCATTAGAACACTTCTGGAAATGCAGCAAGATAGAATTAACTAGAGGGTCTATTAAAGAGGGCTTTATACCTGGTTGAAGACAATTAGGAGCCCACTTTGGGGTAGGGCATGAGACTCCCAAGGAAGAATGGCTATCTGCAGAGCTTTTGTTTTTGTTGATTGGACCAGAGATAAAATACTCTAAACAATAAAGGAGAGGCTGAGCACTGGGTCCTCTTTCTCTGTCTTTAATTTTTTTACTTGAATTAAAGTTGAATGGATTTTTGAAGAATTTGCCTGTGAGCAGGAGGGCAGATTAGCAGTCTACCTGAGACACCTACAAGTCTTTGTCTTTTTTTTTTAATCTTTATTTTATTTTATTTTTGTATGTGTTGCTGAGGATCGAACCCAGGGCCTCACATATGCTAGGCGAGGACTCTACCACTGAGCCACAACCCCAGTCCAAGTCTTTGTCTTTTTGACGGTGTCTTTTGCCTTGCTGATGACACTTTTGTTCTCAGGGCCCCGTGGGAAGACTTATGCATTCAAGGGGAACTATGTGTGGACTGTGACAGATTCAGGACTGGGGCCCATGTTCCTAGTGTCTGCTCTTTGGGAGGGACTCCCAGGGAACCTGGATGCTGCTGTCTACTCTCCTCGAACACAATGGATTCACTTCTTTAAGGGTAAGGGGGCTAGTTGCAGTGTCTTACTTAATGACTAATTATAAAGAAGCCATAAAGGGAGGGGGAGTTGAGAATTTCTGAAAGGGTGGAATAGAGGGACCAAAAGCTATCACCTGACGACAGAAGTAACTTGTTCTTTCCTTATATACTCTCAGGAGACAAGGTGTGGCGCTACATTAATTTCAAGATGTCTCCTGGCTTCCCCAAGAAACTGAATAGAGTAGAACCTAACCTGGATGCAGCTTTCTATTGGCCTTTCAACCAAAAGATTTTCCTCTTTAAGGTATAAAGTTTGAAGCAAGAGCAATCCTTTCTTAGCAGGGGTGGGCTTATACTTAAAAGTAAAGACTTGCTCTTAAGGGAGACCTACTGCTGTTGTGGTGGGCGGAGGATAAACCTCTGGTGCTCTCTCCTCATCCTTCTCTTCTCCCTGTCTACTTGACACCCAGGGCTCCGGGTACTGGCAGTGGGACGAGCTGGCTCGAATTGACTTCAGCCGCTACCCCAAACCAATCAAGGAATTGTTTTCTGGAGTGCCAGACCAGCCCTCAGCAGCTATGAGTTGGCGCGATGGTCAAGTCTATTTCTTCAAGGGGAAAAAATACTGGCGTCTCAACCAGCAGCTTCTGGTAGAGAAAGGCTATCCCAGAAATACTGCCCACAACTGGATGCATTGTCATCCCCAGACTCTAGGCACTACCCGCTCAACTGGGGACAACACTTCTTCAGCCACAGGCATAACCTTGAATACCACTTCCTCCACCATGGAGACCACCTTGAATCTTGACCACTCACCCACAGACACAATCTTGGATATTACGACCTCAGCTATAAACTCCACCACCCTTTCACTTCCTGCTAATGTCCCCTTCCAGAGGCCTAAGACCTAATCAAATGTCTGCTCACTGGAACTACACAGGTGCTGGGGTCCTGCCTCAGAGGGGTCCAGGGGGTCCTGAAGGATGAGTGGCGTTGGTGCAAGGGATGGAGTCCTTTCTTAGACACAATCTCCAGAGAGACAACTGTCAGCTGCTTTCTCTCTGTCTCCTTTTATTTTATTTTTTCTCATCATTTTGGATACAGAATCATTAATAAAATGCGTCATCAATTTACAATCTCCAGATTTGACATTCTCTTATTTAACAGATACCAAACTATGTAACCAGACTCTATGTCTCCTAACCTGTCATTAACCTTCAAGTTTAAAGCACACCTGTACTTAAGATCCCATCTAAAAGTCCCCTTAATAACAATCTTATATTCTAAAAGCATCTAAAAATGCCTACATTTGTTCTCATAAAACTGGTTGAGCTGCTTTCTCAGAGAGTTTCCTTTTTCCTTAGTCAAAGTACACCAGTTCTTTACTAATCTTTAACTAAAGGACAGGCTCTGCATGTCAATCCCCCTGCTGCTAACATTAACTATGCTTATCTTAAATCCGTATGTAAAGTAAAGGAGGGTCTATTAGAAAGAAGATATATATTTTACTAACCTTTTCTCCCCTGGATGAATACCATATCCTATCATTAATTAAATAGGCTATATATGGTGGGCTTTGTGCAATAGGCATGATAACTATCTACTTAGGCTTGAGAGACTGAAAATATGAACTTGGATTCTTGGTTGATATAATCAATCATGGTGCCTAGAGTTCCTATAACATTTCCCAGAATGACTGTTGATATTTTTCTGTTTTGTTCTCAATGTCCTGAGAGATAGTAAAACAGCCTTTAAGTCATGAACCACCTGTTATATTCTTGGCCATCTAGAATTTAAAGTATACTCATGCCTTCTGTAAGGCTGAGTATAAAATAAAAAGTCCCAATTACATAAAAAAGGGTTTGGTTTCCCACAAGTGCAGCCTTGCCAAATACTTGCCCTCCTCACTTTGACCTTGTCAAGACAGTGGGAGGTGGAACACCTTCACCATACAGATACTACAGAAGGATCATGAATCATGGACCTCAGTTCCCTAAAAGTTTCATCTGCTTCTTTGCTCTTTCTTCTCTGCTCTCCTGGGAACTTCCCGTTAACTCTGATTCAGCCCCAGCTCCATCCATTTTATCTTTCTCTTAGATAGCAGTTCCAGCTGTGTTATGTGGAAGACAATGGTGGAGGGAGGCCTCAGTCAGGTCTTTTCCTGACAGGTGGCAACAGCTGGGGAAGCTGGATACCTGGGTCCTATTCGCCTTAGATAAAGTACAAGAAAACAGCATAGTCAGTAAAATGAACAAGGGCTTTGGAATTATTGAGAATCACATTAATTTGTTTGTGACTTTGGGCAAGCTAATTAGCCTCATTGAATCTTAGATTCCCAATCCTGTAGGGTTGTTGTGTTAAATGACAATATTCCATATGGAGTGCTTGGCACCAGTGTCTTGCACATTTCTGTTTAATAAAGGCTAACTCTACTGGGTGTAGTGACACATGCCTGTAATCCTAGCTACTTGGAAGGCTGAGGCAGGAGGATCAGGATGGGTAGTTCTTCCTCTAGCTATCTGGGTGTGTAGCACCTACAGTGGTCTATCCACCAAGGGTACCCCTGGTCAGATATTTAGGGAACAGAAAAAATTTAAATATGGCTATCTCTTTATTTTGGGGTAACAGAGTAAGAAAAGAGCAGCAACAGTAGAGGCCAGTTATCATAGGTTCAGTTTTCAATGCCATTTTATTCACATGTTCCCATGTTCTTCCTCCCTCCCATCATAGCCTTGCTGCCTAGGGGAGGGCTGTGTCTTCATGCTATCTAGGAAAACAGGGATTTGAGAGACTGAAAACATGAACATGAACTTGGGCAGGAGAGTGAGAGTAGGGAGAGTTAGAAAGGGTTAGTGGCTGGTACAAAATTCTGGTTACAGAGAAAATGAGTATCATCCACAGTGAGAGGCGGGGAAGGCACTTGTCTCCCATGTAGCCCTGAAGACCAGGCTCTTTTGGGCAAAAGGGCAGGACTCTCGTATGAGGACAATGCTCTCTTCTTGGAGCAAGAAGCCTGCTTTTAAAGAGTCTGGTGCTGAGGCAGGTGCTGTGATCTTCCCAGGTTGAGAAAAGGGGGATGGTGCTCCCCACTGAGGTAGGAGAAGGGGGCTCAATCTATGGGAGCCAGGGGGCAAACCCTTCTAGAAACCTAACTACCCCTTAAGGAGGAGCTCTTTTGTGTCATGCTTTCCATTAAAAAGCTATCACATGCCTTAGGAGGCTCCCTGATTTTCTACAGGTCCTACAAAAACAAAGCCCCTTATTTTAACATTTGTTATTTAACAAATAACCTTTTAAATACTGAAACAGTATTTAAAAGGTTATTTGGGTGATGGCTCTCCTTAGTTTGGAGGGAATTGGGGAGTCAGTATCTCTAGGGACCAAAGTACCTGTATTATTGGTCAGAGGTTGTTGGGGACCGCAAATCAAGATGGCACCTGGCAGTTTGCTAAGAGGAGTGGTTTGTGAGGCAACGCCACCGAGCCATTAAGATGATGGGGATTCCTTATTGGCTGACTGCTGTATCTAGATGATGCTAATGGAGTCAAGCTGTGTGTAATCAGTTAGGTATATATACCTCTGCTGTTTTGCAATAAAGCGGCTCCGCTACCTTGGGTGCCCACTACCTTGAGTTCCCGCTCAGTTCCCGCTGAGTTTCCCCACAATAAAGCAGTTCCCGCTTCAACCTTCAAGTTGCTTGTCACCTCCCGGTTATTTGGCCCAGCCGGACTGTGGCAAGAGGTAGGTACTCTACTTCCATTCGTCTCCCCTCCCCATGAGATTCCTCTGTGTCTGTCCCTGAAATACATCCCTACAAGTCTGGTCTGGAGCACAAATCCCATCCCAAGTCCAAGAGGTGGGGAAGTTTGTGTGTAGGTTCTGTGGGCCCATACTAGGGGCAGGAACATCAGCAGAGGGTTAGGTTTGAATGGGAGCAGAGGGTGTGGTGAGGGGTAGAGTGGAACCACAGTCAGAATCCAGGTTCAGGATGGTATAGGGGGCTGACACCTGGATGCTTGGTCCCAGTTGGCGCTCTTGAAGACTCTGGAGATAACTCTGAAGGGGTAGAGGGCAGAGAGGGCAAGAGGAGGAACCTGGATCAGAACACTACTCCCACCCTGACCACCTCCATATGCCCTCTGCCACAGTGGCCCCCCAGGCTGTCCCATTCTTCCCACTCACTGGAGCCAGACTGTCAGCAGGGCTCCGGGTATTGGCAGGCAGCTGGCGCCGATAGCTGCCCTCACATGGTCCCACCCCAGATGGAGTTCGGTGCCACTTGGCCTCTTGCTGATGATGGATCTGAAGAAGTTGGAGACGCCTTCGCTGGTGGCTCAAGACCACTGCTTGGGAGGGAGTAATAAGGACTCTAATCGTTTTTAGGCCCTGAATCCCACCCCCAAATATAGTCACTCTACAGAAGCCCATTTAACCTTCTTCTTAGGGTTCTCTCAAGGCTCAGCTTCCCTTCAGTTGTTGGAATTCTCCTATTTTTCCCTCCTGGACTTCCCTGGGATCCTCTCCTTTCCTCTCATACCTGTCCCAAATAAGTCTTTGTTGCATCCCCTGCCGATTTTGCTTCTGATTTTTACCCTGAGCTTCTTTGGCTACTTGTACCCTAACTTTCCTTCATGCTCTGCCCCATTTACTTTGGATATCCTCCCCGATCCTTGTCCCTCAAGTGTTTTTCTCCCCTTCCCCCTCTCAAGTCTGAGAACTGGGGACATGAGTAAGCACAGGCTGGCTGTTTCTATACCGCAATAGTAACTCACCGTTGGCGTGGCCTCCATGTTCCTCAGCCATGAGCTTCCACTGGGCCAGGGCCCCAAGAGCCCCCAAGGCTGGCCAGGTCCCCAGTAAGACCCAGCTATACCAGCAGAGAGGAGACAAGGCTGGAAGTGCTTGCAGGCGTTGGCCCAACCGACTGCCCAGTGACAGCCCCTCCAGGAAGTAGTCAGCACAGGCCACGAGCACTGCAGCACCCAGCAAGGCTGTGCCCAGAACTGTGAATGGACGTGGCCACCGAAGCGTGAGCAGGGCTCCCAGTAATGCCAGCCCCACCAGCCCCCCGGCTGGCACCCAGGCTGATGGGGGCTGGTAGATGGGCTCAGTGCTCAGCAGAGCCCCAGCACCCAGGGTCAGACCTAATAGGAGACCAGTCAGGAAGAGCCCAACACTGCGAACTAGCATGGTGACCAGGCCGCAGAGGAGTCCGATGCCCAGTGCGATGCCTGCGCTCACCTCCAGGCTTAGCTGTGTCTCCAGCACCTGTTCCTTGTGGCACAGCAGGAAGATGACCAGAGCTCCAGACAGCAGGCCCGAGAGAAACATCACTGCCTTAAAACAGCGGTAGCCTGGGAATGGAGGCAGGAAGTACTGAGAAGCAGAAAGGAGGTTCTACAGGGATGCCTGTGGTGAATTGTAAGAGGAATGATTAACCAGAGGAGGAAGACAGGAGCACCAAGGGGACCTCAAAGAAAGGGGGGGAAGGAATAAATTTGGGGAGGAGAAGCATTCAGGAACTGTGAGGAGATGGGGGTGGAGGTGGGGATGTGGGTGGGGAGTGGGGGTGGGGGGAGAATCAGGAGATACAATAGATGTGTTGAGGAAAGAATAGGAAGGTCTAGTCTTTCCAGGGATGGCATATAAGAAGAAATTGCCCACAGGCTGGTTCAGGTTTCTGGTAAAGTCTGAAGCATGGAAGATAATTTGGGAATGGACTTTTGAGGTAGGAAGCAAGAGGAGAGAAAATGATAGACACCAGAGATCAGAGCTGGATGACATGGGCAAGGGGGAAGGATAACAAGCTGGCAAGGGCAGCATGAGCCTCTCTGAAGGTAGGTGTTCCTTGATAGAGGAGGTGAGGAGGCCCAGAAGCAAAGAATAAAATTTGCATCATCCTTGAGGGTAATAGTCTTGGGCAGCTGCCCCCCACCGACCTTGGCCCTGCCCTCACCGAAGCAGCAGTAGATGATTCCAAAGCAGCAGCAAAGGGCACACACCAGGGCAGGTGCTAGTTCAGGATTGTCCTGGGGTTTCAAGACACATCTTGGGTCTGGAGGCTCTGGGAGTTGTTGATTAAAGGGCCTGGGGTCAGATGTCACAGTTAAGGGCAGCAAGGCTTTCTCCATGATTG